CAGCACAGGCAATCGGCCGCAGTGGAGGAATCCTGGCTGGTCAATGGAATTAACACATTTCAGACCTTGCAACAGCCGGGAGAGCTCCCAGGGGAGATCTCCAACACCCAGGAAAAGGAATTTTTCACTCTTCAGCTGTGAATTCTCTCCAGGCTCTTCCGCAATCAAACTCCAGTGTTTGGAGCAGTGAAGGAATCAGGATCCTTTGCATTAACAATCTACACAATCTGTACTGTTGCTGTTGTTGGGACATACGAGGCATCACCTCCAATAACATTTCCACCTCAGCATCTTTTTCTGTGTAAAATACTGAAACACAAAATGACTTTCCCCAGGCTCTTCCACAACCAAACTCCAGTGTTTGGAGCAGTGAAAGAAGCAGGATCTTATGCATTAACAAGCTGCACTCTGCTGTAGTTGACGTGTCGAGGCATCACCTGCAGTAATATTTCCACCTCAGCATCTTTTTCTGGATAAAATATTGGAACACAAACTTTTTTTCCCCAGCCTCTTCCACAAACTCCAGTGTTTGGAGCCGTGAAGGAATCAGGATTCTTTGCATTATCAACCTGCACTGCTGCTGTAGTTGGCGTGTCGAGGTATCACCTCCAAAAAAATTTCCGCCTCAGCATCTTTTTCTGGGTGAAGTATTAAAACACAAAATTATTTTCCCCAGGCTCTTCTGCAACCAAACTCCAGTGTTTGGAGCAGTGAAGGAAGGAGGATCCTTTGCATTAACAACCTGCACTGCTGCTCTAGTTGATGTGTACGAGGCATCACCTGCAAAAAAATTTCCGCCTCAGCATCTTTTTCTGGGTAAAATATTAAAACACAAAATKACTTTCCCCAGGCTCTTCCCACAACCAAACTCCAGTGTTTGGAGCAGTGAAGGRAKSRGGATCCYTKRCATTAACAATCTKCACTGYTGCTGTAGTTGRGATGTACGAGGCATCACCTSCAATGAAATTTCCACCTCAGCATCTTTTTCTGGTTAAAATATTGAAACACAAAATGACTTTTCCCCCTTAGCCGGCACCTCCCTGCAGAGCACCCACAGTTGCAAACCGAGGAGATATAAAAACACATTTTTCACTTGGTGCCGGGGTTGTGTTCTCCTCAAATCCGTCATCGTCTGACCCAGCGGATCCGACAGATCGGTTTATCCCTCGCCGCGGAGTTCATCGCAGTCGATAATATCGATTAGCGCGGGGTGATTTGATGGAACAGCAATAACACCCYGCTCTTAATTGGAGCCTGCATTTCCTCTCCTGCCTCACGCTTGGCTGGATCCTTCAATAACACACGGAAATTGCAAGATCTGACATTAACCAGGGAGTGAATAATTTGCTTTTCCTTGGAACTGGCGCCTCTTTTTTTTCCCAGTTAAACTGTGGCACCGTGCCAGTTCACTTTTTACGCTGCCGCCTCAAAGTCCTGGTTTTTTTTAAAGCTGCCTTTTTCTAAATGCCATCAGTGAAGTTTAATAAACTCTGTTTTTCATTGTTTTGTGCTCCCCAAGTCCATCTGTTGGATTTATCGAGGAGCTCAGGGTGCACTCGAGGAGCTGAGTCAGCTCTGGAAATGTTGTGACTGAGAATTCCAACTTCCCTGGATTTCCCACTTCCCA